TGTGATGTCACTTTTACTGAAGGCTTTCAAGATTTTCTTGTTGTCATTGGTTTTCAGCATTTGACAAGCCAATACAATTTTCTTCATATTTATACTGTTTAGGGTTTGCTGAGTTTCTTGATTCTTAACCAAATGTGGGCAGTTTGGGGGTATTATTTCTTCAAATATTATTCTACCTCATCTCTCTATCTCTCCTCTCGAGACTTCAGTAATATCTTATATCTTTTGATATTGTCCACAGGTCTCCGAGGCTCTGTTCACATTTTTCTCTCTCTTCTTCAGAGTTGATAATTTCTATTGATTGACCTTCTTATCATCATCTCTAGTCTGCTCTTAATAATCCCATCTCATGAAATTTATTTCAGATATTTTAATTTTAAAATTTCCATTTGGTTCTTTTTATATTTTTTATTTCTCTGCTAAGAATCCTATTTTTTAATTTATTACTAGTATATTTTACTTCATCTCAATGAGCACAGTTATAATAGTTGCATTAAAATCCTTGTCTGATCATTTCAACACCTGGGTCATCTCAGGGTTGGCCTCTGTTGTGTTGTTCCTCAAGAATGGGTCATATTTTCCATGTTCTTCATGTGTTGAATAATTTTGATTGTATCCTGTATGTTATAAATGTTATGTTTTGGAGACTCTAGATTCTGTTATATCTCTCTGTGGTACGCAGAATAACAGCCCCCTCAAAAGATGTCCACATCCAAATCCCTGGAATCTATGAATATGTCATGTTACGTGGCAAAGGAGAATTAAAGTTACACATGGAATTAAGGTTGCTAACCAGATGACCCTAAAATTGGAAGATTATCCTGGATTATTCAAGTGGGCCTAATGTATCATGAGGGTCCTTAAAAGTGAAAGAGGGAGACAGAAGAAAAATGAGTCAGAGTGAACAATGTAAGAAGGATTCAACCCAATCTTTCTGGCTTTGAAAATGGAGGAAGGTGACCATGAGTCAAGAAATGGGTACAGTATATAGAAGTTGGAAAAGGCAAGAAAACAGATTAGAGCTTCCAGAAGGAATGCAGTCCTGCCTACACCTTGACCTTAGCTCAGTGAAACCCATTTCAGATTTCTGACCTCCAGAACTGTAAGTGAATAAATTTTAATGTTATTTTAAGCCAGTAGGTTTGTGGTAGTTTGTTACAGCAGGAACAGGAAACTAACACATCCTCCAAAGGTGTTTGGTTTTTTATTTTATCGAGCAATTAAATTGGTTAGACCCAAACTGCGAACTCTCTCACTTGAGGTAGACGACAGGTCAGATCTGATTTTTTTTCCTTTACAGAGCACACACATACACATACACATACACACACACACACACACACACACACACACAATTTTCTTTCTGAGATCAGACACTTTCCTGGGCAATGTCTTCCTAATGGCAGAATTTGGCCATTTTCTAGGGAAGCTTCAGCCACCATGGACCATATCTGGCTGTGCCACCTCACATCATTACCCTCTTCCAAGTCTGAGCTCCTCTCCAAAACCTGCCTGCCTTTCTCCACAGCTTTCAGATAGTTGGGGGGTTTGTTTATTTTTGTCCAGAGTTTATTGTTATTATCTATGACAGGGTTTATCCACTGGAACCTTATTAACCATACCAGAAATAGAACCCCTATACAATCTTGATATATATTTAAAATTAACCTTACACATTCAAAACTCAGTGATGAAAAGATTTTACAGAAATACACATCTTTAAAATAGTGACATATTTTGCTTGGATTATGCAGACATAAAGCAGAAAACAGTAATAATTTGATTATTTCAGCTATCCAGGCTGAACAAAATAGAAGTAACTAGCTTATGAACCATATTCTTTTATTAATAGATTAACTTAGTCCTGGTTATCTGAAGAATATCTTTGCCAGCTTTATCAGATTACAATATCTACAATTAGTATCACAGATTCATAAAATGCAAAAGAAGATCTTTGAAATCACCTCGTTAAATGCCTTTGTTGTACATTATGATTGTAAGGCTCAGCAAGGAACAAGGGAATGCTTTATTTAACTAAAATTTATTATTAATGTAGTCGAGATTTAAAATATTTTAAACTGTCAGGTATTTGTGATATGTACACACACACATACATATATATATCAGGGTAGTTTTCAAAAGAAAATTTGGATGACTTCAACTAAACTATTTTAAGAACCTTAAATACTAAATTAAGCCAATTAGTTTTGTAAATTCAGAGTCTGGAAAACAAATATAAACATATGTATATTTGCTTGTTTGCTTTATTTTAATTTAGTTTCCAAACATTTTTCAGTTTGAAATAGTCTAAAGGGGGAAGTCATTTTTGCTTTTTGCCTGTGAAAAAAGCCGTTGTTTTTAAGGGCTATGTTTTCCACTTTGATGAACATTAAATGAATCCAGGCATGTAAGTCAATATGCGTTATGATGACTTCTTGAAAACCTCAATGAATGTAGAGTCCCTGAAAGTCTGATTTTAGCACCAACGAATATATATTGAGCACCAGACAGTGTTCCAGATGCTAACACACAGAAAACACAAAGATAATCAACATGGATGCTGCCCTCAAGGAGCTGACAGAACAGGAGGGAAGGCAATTCAAGAAGGTGACAAATGCCAAAGAAGGCGCAAGCACCGTCCTGGTGGGGTTCAGGGAAAGCTCAGAAAGGTTTCTAGAAAAGGTGATAGTTGAAGAGCCCTTTAATGGGTGGATTGTATTGTTGATCCATTTGGTAGTGAAGAGTATTCTAGGTTGAGGGAAGAGCAAAGGGAAAAGAAAGACTCAAAGTTGAGAAAGCACAAGGTGTACATGCCTGGATCATAGCAGACAAGGGAGGATAGTAGAAAATAAGTGTGGACCAGTAATTTGGGACTGGAACATACACAGCCTTGAATGTCTGCCTAGGCCATGTAGTCATGGAAAGTTTGTCAGTAGGGGAATGTGTTCAGACCTATGCTTTAGGAAAATAAATCATATGGATTGGAGCAGGGAAACACTGTAAGCAGGAAGACTCGTTAGGAGACTAATGCAGCGGTCAGAGTGAGAAATGACAAGGGAAATAATAGGAAAATGGAGAGGAAGACATGAATATGAGAAACTGCAATTATCAGGACTTGGCAAGTGATTTTCAATAACCAGTTTCTGACCCACAGAGTCTGACCCATTGGGTTTCTGACCCAATGAGATAACAAATGTTTGTTGTTTTATGCCAATGTTTTAGGGTAACTTATTATACAGCGATAGATAACCAGTTTATTCCTTCTGGATTTCTTCAGAACAAATGCCACAAAGTGGTTGTCGTACACTTATTTTGTGATTTTAAGTTTTCTTTATTTTTTAAGAAGTCTCTGGGAAACTGGAAAGAATGTGGACCTGATAGACATCTCTGGGTCTGCAGCTCTGCCACATGCTGCCTGTGTGCACTTGGGTAAGGTAGTTATTATTTGAGCCTGATTCATTATTTAAAAATAGGATTAATAGTATTAACCTTAGAGGACCACCGTGAAGACTATATAAACTAGCTTGTTAAGTGTTATAATCTGGGGACATAGTAGGTGCTTCAGAACTGAAAGTCCCTACCCCATCTGTCCCTATCTTATTTGGCTTTTCTCAGAACTTTTTGAAATCTACTGTCTCCAATGGTAACTGGGTCGACACTTTTTTCTTCTTAATTCTCAGATATTATTCCATTTTAACGATCCGAACCCAAAGAAATACAAAATCACAGGTCCACTCTCGTCCTACTAATTGGAATCTGGCTTTTAACAATTTTCCCAGGTGATTTCTAAGACATTAAAATATGAGAAGCACTGAACTAGTAGCTATCTCAAATTTAATATGGCCAAAAAAAGAGCCCACACACTCTCCAAATCTGCTCCATTCTAGGCTTTACCATCTAAATAAATAGCATTACCCAGTTGTTCATGCCAAAAACTTGGTATTCATCTTTGATAGCTCCCTCTCCCATGCCCTTCACGTCTAAGCAAACACCAAGTCTTCTTCCAAAATATGTATCTGCATCTATTCCTTTCCATCTCTATAACCACATCTAAATTACTATCTTCTCTCACCTGGATTACATACAGCAGCTAGGGCCGACTTACCCAGTAGGCACAACAGGCAGAGTGCCTAAGTCCCACCATACTTTTAGGGGCCCACAAAAACATTTTAGTTATTTTAAAATTATAAAAACAAACTTTCAGGTAAAAGAAAATGTTTTAATGTGTAACATTATTTGTCTTTATACCAACATAATCATAAAATAAAATTTTAAATAGTTTTTTATGAAGGGGTCTATTAAGGTGAAAATGCCCAGAGTCCATAAAAAGTTATAACAGGGCCCTGGCAGCAACAACCTTTTAACTGGTCTTTTTCTTCCATTATTGCATCTGTATAATCCACTCTCCATTCAGTAGCCTGGATATTCTTGTTTTGTGTGTGCGTTTTGCATCGAAGTATAACTTCTATAAAGTGTACTGTGATGAATTTTTACATATACACTCATGTAACCACCACATCAAGACAGTAATCCTTTTCAAAATTTTACTTAAGTTATGACATTCCCTTGTATAAAATCCTTCCATGCCTTCCCAATCCACTTGGAATAAAATCCAAACACCTAAACCTGGTTTACAAAGCCTCACATGATCCAACCCCTACCTATCTCTGGAACTTCATCTTGTACCTCTCTCCACTCCCTTACCATTTTCCAGTTACCAGCCTTTAAATTCCCCAACTTGCCAAGATGTTCCTGCCTTGGAGCTCTTGATCTAGCCATGCATCCCCTGCCTTCTCCTAAAGCTCTTCCTAAAGATGTTCTATATTTGTTACATTCTTATCCCTTCTAAACATGCCCAATTACAACTATCTTTACCCAAGATATTGGGTTTATTTTGCTTCAACAAAAAGTGATTTACAAAAAAAGTGATTTAAAACTAAATTCTGAATCTTCGCTTCCAAAAATCCCTTGTGGCACACCCATTCCGAATTCCAGCTCACCTTCACCAGGTCCCAGGGAAAAGCCTTTGGCCAACGCGGTCCCACCCCTTCCGCCTACCCCACCGACCGGAAGTCAGCGGATCAGGAGACCCCGCCCCGAGCTCAGACCCGACCCCTCGTGCGCGCGTAGCCGTACGCAAAGCGTTAGGGGTTTCGCGACAGCCAGGCCCCACCCCTTTGGCCACATGTCGCGCAGGTCTTCCCGTCGGACGCCGCGCCACCTCCTCGTGCTGCTTTACGAACCTAGAGCTAAGCTGCGCCGCCCCGCCTCCTGTCTCTCTCCTCACCTCCCCACCCCCTCCCAGTTTCGCGTCTCCTAGCCCGACGCGCCCGCTATAATCACGTGATTGCCTCATCCGGGTCCTTTGCGTTCTCTCTCCTTCTCCCAACATGGCGGCCTCAGGTGAGTGAGCGGCTGAGCGCGGCCAAGCACCGGCCTCCTAAGCCACTCTCCGAGCCTGATCCACTGATTCCCTGGAGTCGGGGAATGGGCGGTACCGCGTCCCTTCGGATTTGGGGGTTGCGGCAGGCTGGCGACTTGGCCCTATTAGGTTATCGCCTCGGGATGTTTGGGGGGGAGGGGAAGAACACCCTCCCCCTCACACCCTTTTCACCTCGTCCGCGCGAGGTTGGAGCGGGGAGTAATGATGGACTCTGACTTGAGTTGGAATGAGGAGGAGGCGCAGAAAGACCTGCGAGAGACGTGAGGCCTTCCCATAGACGCGAAGCACTGTGTCCGCGTGGAGGAAGGAAGGAGGCGGTTGGCGCGCGGACGAATGCACACTAGACTAGGTCTCCGAGGCGCGAGGCCGTTGCGGACGGGAGTGGGGGTAGGGGAATAAAGGGGGGGGCAGTTAGAACGCGGTCGCGAGTCGGTGGAGGGGCGGAGAAAGGCAGCGGTGCGCGTGCGCGGTAGGAGAGCCGAGGGTAGTGGAGACTGGCGCGCCTTAAAAGCACGCGCAAGATCTCAGATGGCAAGATTTTACGTGCCTGTGTTGGTTGGTGTTATGTCTTTTGACTTTTTGCTCTTCCTCTTTTGGAGTGTGGCCCGGCCCCTGTACTTTTCGAGGAGTATATTAGGTTTGGAGGCTGAAGCTACTGGAGTCAAGTGGGGGTGGGGAACGCACTGTGGTGCGCCCACGTGTTGGAGTAGAGGAAGCAAGGGTGGAGACCCAGTTTTCTAGGCTTTTTCTCTTAATTCAGTCACCTCAGTTTTACTGAGAAACTGTGCAAGACTCGGTTCTGGGTGTTGGAAATACAGTGGTGAACAAGATCAGATCCCTTGGCAGCTTCCATTTTTGTTGAATTTTTATTATAGCTCCAATGGTGGGGTTCAGCTCTTTTTATTGAACAACTAAGAGATACCTTTAAAATAATACTAGTGGCTGGAGTTGGTTTCTTTTTTAGACTTCTTGGGCGGAGGGAATATCACTCATGAAAGCCTACTTGCATTTCTGATGGACTTAGCAGTGAGCTTTGCAACATTTTGTAGCGTTTTTAGTTTTGGGGATACTCTATCAGCGAATTGAACCTACAGGGATAGAAAATACGGGAGGATGTTACTTTGTTGCTGATGTGTGCTAAGTAGTTAACCTCTGATAGCTGGACTGAACATGTATAGACTTCCTATTCTATAAACAATACAGTATAACAACTAACAGCATTTACATTGTATTAGGTATCATAAGTAATGTAGAGATGATTTAAAGTATATGGGAGGATGTGTGCAGGTTATATGTAAATACTAGGCCATTCTATATAAAGGTCTTGAGCATCTGAGGATTTTGATATCCACGGAGGTCATGGGACTATTCCCCGTTCTTTCTTTTCCTTGGCATAACCCTGCATTCTATAAAACGTTTATTGAACCCCTGCTATCCCTGGACGCTCATTTCCCACCACGAATTTATCTTCTTTGTTATTACTTAGGAAACTAAGTCTTTGGAAAATGTTGAGGGCATTGAGGTGCATTCGAACATACTTTTCATTGGTGTAGCACTAGACAGTTGACCAAGCACTTTTATGACTTGTCCCATTTGATGCTCTGAGATAAATGGTGATATCTCCCAGCTGTGAAAGATGAAATTATTTGTTCAAGGTCACATTATGCAGTGGCAGAGCAAGGTCAAAATCTTTGAGACTCCTGACTCTTCATTATCCACTTGGGAATAATGTTGGTTTCCGTGTCAAAAATTTAGGGTGCTTCCCAAAAGCTTCATCTGAAGTAAAGTGCTTATTTGGCCTGAATTTGCCATCTTTCCGGCTCAGTGTCATAACTTAGAAAAAAGCCTATACTTCCTTTCTCCACAACTTTTGTGGAATTTTTAGAAGTGGAAGACGTGTTAGTAGCCTTTGCCTTCATTTTACATACAGAGATGAGTGAAATCCAGATTAGTTAAAAGAATTTGCTTAGCGATGTCTCTTTCTATTCTTGCGTAGTAACTCTACCCCCTTGGAAGCCCTCATCTCTCTTAATTCTTTAATTCCATAAATCTTCCTAGAATATGTAGTATGTATTAGGAACTCTGTGCTAGTGTCTGAGCCTAAGGTTACATCTGACAGGTTGTCCTTGAGGAATTGAGAGATCTGTTAGATTTCTTTCCCCACTTTGAATCTTTTCCAATCAATCACATTGACTTAGCTGAGTGACCAGTATTCCCAAATATTGGTCACTCAACCAATATGACTATTAAAACCATAAAATTTTCATTGTATTTTTGCTATACTTTTTTTATGTCAGATGTGTTTGATACATGTTAATAATTATTGAGACTAATGCTTTAAAATTAGTAATAGAGTTTGCCTATACAAGACCTTTCATTTGTGTAATATTTTTCAAAATGCTATTATGTGTAGGATCTTATGTGATTGTTTTTATGGAGAGAGGATGGTGTCCAATGGTAGTTTTCCTACAATGCTTACCTTTATAGTGAAAAATAGTTTCGTTTATTGCCATTTATGCTGTTCACATATTAACCTATTTTCAAATCTCATCCTCTACTATATGTTTTTCTGAGAGGAAGATGCCCAGAATCAGAAGGCCAAGACTAAAACTCCCTATGAAAATTCAAGTGCAAAGCAAATAGAGAGTAGTGCGAAAGTAAAACAGCCTAAGTAATATTTAAATATATACTTTTAAATAGCTTTGGGATATAATTCACATACCATGTATGTATTTGTCTCAAAACTTGCTAGTATTTATTCTCTTTTCATGGTGGTGGGGGGAAGAATGAACTTCAGAGTATAGCTTTTTTTAAAAACTATGCTTATTTATAGTTATGTGTGTGTGTCTGTACATTTACAAGTATACACACCAAAGTCGGTGTCTTAGATTTGTAATAGATATTGCTGTGGTCCTAATGGTAGGAAAATGCCCAAAGCAGGAAGTTATTTTCAAATTTTTACAGCTCCTCTCTTACAGAGAAGCTCCAAGTTCTTAGTGTAGTGGTTAGTATGATGTGTATTAGATGCTTATTTTATACTTTTTTAATGTAAATGATCGAATTGGAGAGGAGGAAAAGACAATGTGGCATTTTCCTCAGATTGTGCCAAGATGAAGAAATTAGGGCAGAGAAGTCATAACTGAACACAGGTTGAGGTGGTAGTGTTATTATTTGACTTAGTTTTTATTCTCTGCTATGCTGAACTACAGCACAGTAAAGGCGAGGCCTCCCGACATCATGATATTGCATTGTATGAAACATCTTTTTATGTCTGGGCTCTAGACAGTGTAATTACTCTAGTTTTAGGCACTCTTGGTATATGGGTGCATTGATTGCATTTATACAATATTGTTTATTTGTTAACTATTAATTAGTTTTTAATCCTGGAGTATTTGGCAGTATTTACTTACCAAAAAGAAACACCTTACCCATCAGTTGTCATTTATCCTCACCCCAATATTAACTTACTATTTCTTTGTATTTACCTGTTCTTAACATTTCCTATAAATGGAATCATACAATATGTAGACTTCGTTACTAGCTTCTCTCATTTAGCATGTTTTCAGAGTTTATCTGTATTGTAGGATGTATGAGAACTTACTCCTTATTGCTAAATCCAATCATTGTATGGATATCTACATTTTATTTATATATCAGTTGATGGTCTTTTGGATCATTTCCATTTTTTTGCGTATTAGACTTATGCTGCTGTGATCTTATACAGATTTTTATGACACTTACTTTCTTAGCCTATGGTTACTAAAACATTCAGTAGAGTTAATAACCCTATAAAATAAGTTGGACTTGGTCTGACAGGATCTAAAATTAAGAAGCTTAATTTTTGACAAAGCCTCATTTGAATGTTAAGGCTATAAGAATTCACCTTCCTAAATAAGAAATACTAGTTTAAGAAAGATGCAGAAGTAGGGTGGCATGGTACAACAAATCAGCTTTATTGCTTATTGTACTGTAAAGTGTCCTCTATTTTGAAATAAAGAACGAGCAGCCAGTCTATAGACTTTATAACTCCAGTATCTGCCAGTTGGTGCTTTTATTACTAATACAATGGAGTAATAACAGGAAAACATTCTGAGAAATAAAAAGGAATCATTTTTTACATGCTGCAGCAAGACTTGGTTTATTGCAGTGGCTTTTCTACTAATGTACTTTAAGGCTAACATTTCCTTTTGTTTGCCCTTTATTGATGTGAAATTAACACAACAGTGGTTCTCAACCAGGGGGCAATTTTTGTCAGCCACTTAGGACATTAAGCAATGTCTGGAGGCATTTTTAGTTGTCACAGTGGGGTGGGGACTTTCCTACTGGCATGAGTAGAAGCTGGAGATACTGGTAAACACCCTACAATGCACAGAGCAGCCCCCCACAACAAAAAAAAAACCTAAAATGTCAATAATGTAGAAATTGAGAAACTAAGAGTTAAGTTTATTGGGTTTTTTTTGTATGCATCAAAACAAACCCTCTGTATTAAGAAGGCTGTAGATGTAGTCTCTTATTAAAGGACTTGTAGACTTAAAATTTTGAAAAATTCTTTTTAAGATTTTTTATTTAGCCTGTATGAGTACATAAAGAGCTTCCTAAGTACAGTCTGCTGTCTATACCCACACGTGCGTTTGCATCTGCAGATTCCACCCTTCAATCCTGGATCATATACGTTAGGATAAAAAGATCACAGCTGATATGTACTATATAGTTAGTCCTGCGATGGTTGCATTTGTACTGAACGTATACAGACTTCTTTCTTGTTATTCCCTAAACAATACAGTATAACAACTATATAGCATTTACATTGTATTTAGTATTATAAGTAATCTAGAGATGATATAAAATGTATGGGAGGATGATATAAAACAGTGGTCCCCAACTTTTTTGGCACCAAGGACTGGTGCTCCTATGATCTGGTGATCTGAGGTGGAGCTGAGGCCCCGATGCTGGTGCTAGGGAGTCGCTGCAAATACAGATGAAGCTTCCCTTGCTTGCCTACGGTTCACCTGCTGTGTGGCCCAGTTTCTAACAAGCCACGGACCAATACTGGTCCTGGGGATTGGGGACCCCTGACTTAAAATACTACGCCATTTTATACGAGACTTGAGCATCCGAGGATTTTGGTATGTATGTAGGGGTGGAAGGATCCTGGAACTAGTCTCCCATGGATACTGAGGGACAACTGTACCTGGCACAATTGCCTTACTACAATTCGGTAAACTACAATTGTAGTTAAAGCAACAGATAAGATTTAATAAAATTTCTGGGAGGTCTGTTTTTCCCCCTTAGTCCATGTAGGCTTGGTATTAAATAATTGGAGCACATTTTTGTTTTATGAGGTGGTTGGTTTAACTTTTTAACCAGCATAACATTTAAAATTAAGAATTGGACTTATTCCATCATTGTGACAATGGATTGATAGACCAGGAGCATTAAACAATGTTTTACTTATAAAGAAGTGGAGAATATTATTGAAATCCTAAACACGTGGGCCTAGATATTGGAAGAGCAAAGGGCATAGAGGATTTAGATAACATCATTTCTCAGTTATTGGAATAAAATAGAGTGGAACAAACATTGGCAACCAGTTTGGGTTTATTGATTTTACTTTTTAAAAGCTAGTTCCTTTAAATCTACTGCTTATATTGTGACTGGGTCAGTGTTGCTGCTAGAGTTAAAGAAACGTAAATTAGAGATCTCGTGGAAGAATATTTGTCTCTTTAAATGAAATCTACCATTGTCCAGTAGGGATTTCTGAACCAAAAATTTTTGGAGAGGGTGGTGAAAGAATTAGAGGGGAAATGGAGATGTATGATTTGAAAAGGCATTCTAAAACTTTTAATTTTTTTAGTCATGATATTTAGTTTATTATTTTTGAAATTTCAAATAATGTTAAAAGAGAGTGTGAGACTTATTTGTCAGGAGTCAAGGGTTAAAAGCGGCAAAACCCTGAACATGGTTCCATAGTGTAGCGGTTAGCATGTCTGCTTTACATGCAGAAGGTCCTGGATTCGTGCCCCAGTGGAGCCACGGTCCACGGTCCACGGTCCACGGTCTACAACCATGCCACCCTGAACAAGCCCAATGTCTGATCTTGGAAGCTAAGCAGGGTGGAGCCTGGTTAGTACTTGAGTAGGAGACCACCTAGGAAGACCAAGTGCTGTAGGCATAAAGAATAATAATAAAGAAAAAAAAAGTTGTAAAACCCTGACTGAGAAAGTTGATTTAGGCCAAAATAAGACCAAAAGGCAAGTTAATTCCAGATTCTGCTGTTTTGTTATTAGATTTGTATATAGAACAAAAAGGAAAGGGATGCCTTAATCAAATTTTTCTTATTCTTATATTGAACTTGAACTCATTATATGGACTAACCACTAGTTTTATTTCTATTTTTCCGAGTAACCAGATAGGTTAATAATTGGGTATAGCTGATGATGATATAAGGTAAAGTCCTATGAGGGAAAGGATCTCTAGCTAGCATCTTACTAGTCCCAGACACTATGTTTTAACTAGAGGATATGGAAAGACTAAAATAAGCCTATACACTGTAAGCATAGTACCTCAGATATGCTTTATGTCTTATGCACATTAACTTAATAAAATTTCCCCTAGGCCTTTGCATATGAGCCAAGAGCAATATCACTGCTATGGCACCTAACCTCTATATAACTGCTTTAAAGCACAAAATAGATCCCCTCAAAAACCTGGTTGATGATAAATGATACGTTCAAAGCAGGATTAATATTTGCTTGAAAGAAGCATGGAGATTTTACATTCAAGGCCATCTTTTCCCTGTATTATTGCAACCAAGTTCTTCTGGTTTGTACATTGAGACTGAGTTACTTCAAGTTCTAATTGTGTCCAGATCGTTTATAACATTTATAGCAAACAGGACTTTATTTCCTTTAAGTTGGATTTCTAAAAGGCAGGTACCAAGCGAGCATTCTTCAGCTAAACAAATGATAAATCAAGTTACAGATTCTTAGTCCTCTTAGATTGAAAATTAGATGAGAATGGTAACATGGAAGAGGAACTCATGATTATAAAAGCCATGAAATTGATCTGTTACAACAAAATGGCTTACTTTTTTCTTACCATTTAGTGGATGCTCTCAGAGCTAGTTTTGGAACTTGAATTAGTCTTTTCAGCTCTTCTGCATTAGCCGTTGATTGGTGTCATCTCAGAAGTTTTGAAGACTAGATGGAGAGCCCAGGTCAGTCCACTAAATGGAGTTATTTAGAGATTCCTGAATATTTCATAACTGCGGAAAACATTTAAATGTGTTGGTTCTTAGGGATTTCTTATTTATTCCTTTTAGTATAATACCTTGTCTTCATATGTGGTGTTAAGGTAGGCAAGGAGATAATTTTTTTTAGAGGGCGAAGTGATCCAGCTGTGTATGTGAATCTTACCATTTCAAATGAAGGTGAGTACATTTTACCATGGTTATTATAACCTGCCATAGAACTGATAACAAGCTTCTTAGAGGCTCGGGCTCCTGTGAGACGAGCCCTAGACCTGGGCTCCAAAACCCTGGGTTTAATTCTAGTTTTGCCGTCTAGTAGTTCTGTAATTTCAGGACAATCATTTGATCTCTCTGAGACTTAGTTTCCTTTTCTGTAAATTGATTGTAATGATTCCTATCTTGTGATTATTTTACAGGTATCAAACAATCTTCAAAAGTTTCATACAGAATATATTATTAGGGGTAGAAATTTTGTTTTATTTCTTTGTATCCTAGGAGCAACAAATGTAATAATTGTCTTAAGAAGTTGCTAAATTAAGAATCTCAAATGATATATGAGTGATACGAGTGAATATACTAGGAAATTAAAGTTTGCGCCCACCCAACCTTACTCCACAGAAGGGACACTATTGAAAATCATTCTACACTCTTTTCCATACATAAGCATAATATGTGTTTAAACAGAAGGTACTCATATAATATGTATTCTGCCATTTCTCATTGGACTGTCTGTGCCAGTATATTGTGCTTTCTCCTTGTTTATATCTACATAGTATTCCTTCGTATAAATATGCCATAATCCAGTTCTTTGATGAGCCTTTATGTTGCTTGCTTTATAAATATATTTAACAATACTGCATTGTATAACTGTAAATACCTAAGTTGTGATGAATTATCTTTCTCTTGCCTTTTTAAAATAGCAAAAAAGAAGAATAAGAAGGGGAAAACTATCTCCCTAACAGATTTTCTGGCTGAGGATGGAGGGACTGGTGGAGGAAGCACCTATGTTCCCAAACCAGTCAGCTGGGCTGATGAAACAGATGACCTGGAAGGAGATGGTAATTTTACTTTCCATCATGCTTAGAACTTTCATTATCTTCTAGACAAAACCTATTCTGTAATAGTGGCTCACACTTGCCTTTTGAAAGGAACTTACGTATTTTGTAGAACCCGAAATCTTATGTATTTTATGGAATTTTAGATTTAGGCTTTAAGAGTTTGCGATAGGGACTAAATGGTGATTCAAGAGCTAGTTTCAGCTCTTGCACTTAACTTTTCTCAAGGTACTATCTTTTTAAGCCTCATTTTCTTCCTTTGAAAAGTAAAGACTAGTTTTTTGTTTGTTTGTTTTTTTTAGGTTTAAAATTCTATGATGTCCTCATAAAGTGATATTTCAATGTAAGCTGTTTATACCCAGAGTCAAGGGGTAATTCGTTCTAGGAGCTCTGAAGTCACAGTGTCCCTGGGTAAATAAAAATGGCCTGAGGAAAAGCTATAGAAGTAATTATAGGGGGAAAATACAGAAGTTATTGGGGTATCATCTGGACAAGCTCTGTGCTTTCAAGAAGTAGCCAGGAACAGGCAAGAGCTAAAAGAAATTTCGTATAGATGGTCATAAGTGTTCATAAGTGTTGATACCTTGAGTGCAAATTCATGCACAGTGCTTTAGGGATGGTATTGATTTTTCTTTTAAACGAAAGGTGAACCATAAAGAAAATACTTTTTCTAGCTGGAAGGTAGGAACATGAGGGTTGTCCATAGTGGCTAAATATATTTAGAGTAAGAGGCCGTGTTGGAATCCTAACTGCCAGGATTGGCATCTATTGCTCTATGTGACCTTGGGCAGGTTACTGAACCTTTCTGAAATCTGAGTTTCCTTCTTTGTAGAATGGGAAACAACCTCACAGAATTGTTAAGAAGATAAAATGTGATATGACGAATATGAAATATCTGGCACATAGTAATATTCCATAAATAATAGTTGATATTCTTCATTTCTTTGCTACATAGGAAATAAGAGCTACTGTGATTCTGTTAACAAAAGCCTGGGCCTTGAAATGCTTAGAAACAGGCAGTGGATACTGAGTCTTTCTGCATTACTATTCTGATTCTAACATTTCAAAAGCGTTTTCTCTTTGTAAAGTACTGTTATTACTGAATCCTCACCTTTTTTACCTGTTTTTCTGATATAGCTTATTTAATACTTGGCACTTAGCATAGGGTCCTCTTACTCTGTACAACAGTAAAGTTTCTTCTAACTTCTTATGTCCACTTTTCTGTCCTAGTTTCAACTACTTGGCACAGTAATGACGACGATGTGTATAGGGCACCTCCAATTGACCGTTCCATCCTGCCCACTGCTCCACGGGCTGCTCGGGAACCCAATATTGACAGGAGCCGTCTTCCCAAATCGCCACCCTATACTGCTTTTCTAGGGAACCTACCCTACGATGTGACAGAAGACTCCATTAAGGAATTCTTTAGAGGATTAAATGTAAGTCTAAAGGTTTTAGGCAATTAACTAATATGGAGAGTAGCATATTGGTAGAGACTATCTCTGATTGTCTATATTGAGAAAGATCTAAGGTTTTGGCTAGACTTGGAAGAGACACATATATTAATTGAGTAAGTGGTGTTTAGGCTCTCCTTGGCTGAGAATGTTCTCATCGGACAGTCTTTATCAACAAAATTAACAATACCTTATGGATACAGAGGAGAGCTCTCAAACCTATACCCCTTCTCATTAAGAAACTTAAAGGTGATGATCCAGTTAATTGTTAAAAGATAGAAAGGTTTCTTTGAACTCAGCTATTCCATTAATGACAGACAGGTTTATATCAAAATTACTTTTTGAGTTTTTATATGAATACATTTTAACTGAGCAGATACATAGTTTATATTAACAGAGTTTGCTCACATATAATGAGATTCACAGTGTTTATAAGCTTACTTAAAAAGCTTAAGAAGGGATGTTTGAAAATGCTGGTCTAGAAAATTACAGAAAGATGAAAAAGTGAGTATAGAGGTGCCCAGAAGTCCTTTTTTCAAACTTTGATTAAAAAGTACTTAGGACTTTAAAAAAGGAAATAATGAATGACGGTTTTCAGTTATATTAGGTTTTTCTCCAGAGTCCTTTCCAATGAAAAAACATTAAAAGTACAGTTCTAAGAATCATCACACTTTGTTTTTTGACTCCCTTCACAGAGCCTGTTCTCTGCAATGGGACACCAACTTTGCTGTAGTTGGCTGTTCTGATGTGATTGTTTTCGACTGCCACCTATAAATCTTCCTCTCTGTTTAATTCTGTAGATCAACTAGAAGGCTGAATAAAATCTCTGATCTGTTCAGGCTTTCCACCTTTATGTTCTAGAACTGGTCTGTAGCTACTTCCCCCTTTGATATTTTGTTCCTTTTTCTACTGTTTCATGAGTTGAATTGAACTAGAATTTAAGAAACTATAACAAAATCTGTCTCAGGAGCCAGAATAAATTATCAAATCAGTGATACAGAAGATAAACTTGAAAATATTCATGAAGAAGTAAATCAAAAGGGTAAGAAAACATATGTGGAAGATAAGAAGATGGCAAGAAAATAGTCAAAAGTATTTGAAACCGGTCTTAAAATTGGAAAGGAAGAGTGCCTACCTTGTTGTAAATAATAAATAAGAATTAGTGCCAGGAAATGTTTTATGAAACTTTAAGACTGAAGGAAAAAATTCTGCAAACTTAAAATTAGAAAACACAAGCTCAAAGTAAAACCAGTTTATTGTGAATTTTTCCCTGTACTTCAAAGAGTAAAATTCAGTGGTTTGCCATCTCAGAGTCCAGACAGGGTAGATATGAGGGAGTTTACAATCCAGTGTTTGATTCCACCAAATTATTGTTAATGTATGAAGGCAATATGTTTCTCAGGTAAAGTTTCCAAAAGATATATTGCCCAGAAAACTTTTTGACAAAAATTGAGTCAACTTTCTGAAATATAAAAATTGTAAATATGTATGTAAATCAACTAAAATGTAGGCATGAAAGAGAAGACTAAAACTAATTGTGGAACAGGCAGTTGCTATTAATTGAAAAACAATTAAAAACTAGAAACAGAATGAAGCAAAAGTCAGATATTAGGAATACACTGAGCTCATGTTGAAGTTTCATATTCAAATTGAAAAGGTTTACTTGAGCATACAGTGAAGTCTGTCTTCTATCTCTTTGCACCAGTTTTCTGCCTAGAGACAACCAGGTTCTTGTGTATTCAGAGAAATTTGCATATACAGTGGTCAAAAAAAGACAAATGAGTAACATTGAATTGAGAAACATTTTTTGTTTTACTCCTTCAGATCAGTGCAGTGCGTTTACCACGTGAACCCAGCAATCCAGAGAGGTTGAAAGGTTTTGGTTACGCTGAGTTTGAGGACCTGGATTCCTTGTTCAATGCTCTGAGCCTAAATGAAGAGGTAAAGAAAATAAGGGTGGGGAGTTTAAGGGGTGGGAGCAAACAAATCTCATGTTTATCAAACTTGATAATTTTTAAGTTGGATCAGTAGCTATTTTAAAGATTTTTATAATATCGACAAAGAAAAGCCCGGGTTATTTAACAGTGTAACACTTAAGTCACACCC